GGGTTGTGGTGCCGCCCCCCCCTGCCTCTACCTCCGCCCAGCCAGGCTTGGCTCAGAGCAAGATGTCACAGTGGCTGGATGACAGATGGCCCCAGCAGCCGCTGTCCCTCCCGACATTCATGTCCCCCTTCCAGAGCCCTCCCTTGCTGCAGACAGCCGGGTGGCAGGGTACTATGGCGTACCCCTAGAGATGCACCTCAGGAGCTTAGGCCGGGAGATAGCGCTGCCCATCGAAGCCTGCGTCATGATGCTGCTGGCCTCTGGCATGAGGGAGGAGGTAGGCAGCACTCCTGAACCCCCGCCACCCTCCCTGCCAAAATGCAGCCCCCTGCATCCCTTCCCTCTTCGCCCCATTGCCAGGGACTCTTCCGGCTGGCAGCAGGCGCCTCGGTGCTGAGGAAGCTGAAGAGCAGCTTGGCCAGCGGCTCCAATGCCCTGGAGGAGTTTTACTCAGACCCCCACGCCGTGGCCGGTGGGTGCTGGTGAGGTTCAGGCAGTCCCTGCCATGCCCCAGCCACCATCACCCCTGCCGATCCCCCTCCCCTCCCAGGTGCACTGAAATCCTACCTGCGGGAGCTGCCCCAGCCTTTGATGACCTTCGAGCTCTACAACGAATGGGTCAAAGTGGGCAGGTGAGTCCAGGCGTTGGGACAGAAAAGCCTGGCAGGGCTCAGAAAGCCCCCAGTCACCTCCTTCCATCCCTCTTGGCACTCAAAGCAGGGCTGCTCAGCCTGGTCTGCCACATGGTGAGATACAAACACAGCGCCTGGTCTGTCCCATGCTTGGCAGAAATCCAGATGGCCCAAAATCTCAGAGAATAACAATAAAAACCATGGCAGGGCAAGGGGGAAGGCTGCAGCATTTTTGCTTGCAAGAAGAGCTTGTGAAAGGCCACTTGGCCTCAATGGTGTGAGCCCCATCTCATCAGCCCACCAGCCCAGTTTGGCCTCTTGCTTTCAGGATGAAAGGGGTGGTGGAGGAGGCACAGCAAAAAGCCTGGGGAAAGGGGGAGAGTGTCTTTCTGAAGGGATCGGCTCAGTGCCAATGAGCCCCATTGTCACAATGAAATAGTGTGGCTGCTCATAGCAAGGCAGTGCTCACCCCCGGGGCCACCCACAAGCTGTATTCATATCATATGAAATCCCTCTGAGCCTTTGGGGTGCAGCTTTGTCCTCCATGGATGCCTGCCTTAGCTGCCCAGTAAAGGCAGCAGCAGCGCATCTCCGTCCCCAGAGCTGTGGCCTGCATGGGGTGGCCAACACTGGCCTTCCTCCCTTGCACACTGTGTCCCTCTCTGCCATAGGGAGCGGGCTGAGCTCTTCACTCCTTGTTCTTCTCTCTTGCAGCTTAAAGGACGTTGACAGCCGGGTACAGAGCCTGCAAGACACCTGCAGCCGCCTGCCCCGGGAGAGCTACAACAATCTGAGGTGTTTTGCAGAGACAGGGATTCTTTGGCCCCAAGCAATCACCAGGGGCAGCCATTCACTCCCCAAATCCATACTTACGCCTCCCTCACCCTCCTTTCACCCCACAGATATCTGATCAAGTTTTTAGCCAAGCTGGCCGAACACCAGGAGGTGAATAAAATGACCCCCAGCAACATCGCCATTGTGCTGGGCCCCAACCTGCTGTGGTCGCAGCAGAGCACAGGGTAAGGCCTGGCTTGGAGGGGTGGGAGGCAGCTCCCCAGCCCCAGCTGGGGTGCCCTGAGCGCAAACGTGATGGGAAAGGCTGATCCAGCTGCTGATCTAAAGCACCTGCGCCTTTTCCATCCTCAAGTCCTGTCCCATTTCCCCACAGTCCCCAAGTGGCACATCCCCTCGCTAAGCACATGTCCTCTTAGCCACTCTGCAAAGTAGCAGAGGAAGAGGCTGAGACCCAGAGCACTTGTGACACGGATGGCCTCCAATACCATTTGCCTCCAACACCAAACCAGGGTTTCTAGGACAGGGAACAAGGCCCACCTCCCACCCTACCACCCCCCTCAGCTGGGCTGTCTCCCCTTCAGGCTCTGCCCCCTCAGGGATGAACACCAAAAGGGTTAATGGCCCAAAACCCCTTTTCTGATGCTTCCCCCACCCCTGTCTCTCAGAGACCAGGTGCAGCTGGACTTGGCCTCAGTCTCCTCCATCCAGGTGGTAGGCGTGGTGGAAGCCCTCATCCAGAATGCAGACACCCTCTTCCCTGGAGGTAGGGCCAGAGCCTCACTTGGGGGGGATGCAGCCCAGGGAGAAGCGGGGAGGAAGCAAAAGGGACATTTTTCTATCCCCAGGAGGAGGGAAGCGGGGGGATACTCCGATTCCCCAATGCAGGGTCACCAGGAGAAGCTCTGGGCAGCAAGCACTTCCTCATGGAGTCTCCTCCTTTCTCTCCACCCAGAGGTAGATTTCAACGTCTCAGGCATGTTCACACCACCTGCGAACAGTGGACTTCATGAAGCCACACCGGTGGAAGAGCTGTCCCCTGAGCCCCCTCTGGCCAGCACCCCCACTCTTCCAGATGGAGAGGTGTAAGTGCAGTGGGAGCCGGTGGCTTGGGCTGTCCCAGCTCTCCCCAGGTCCTCCCCCATCCCACACCACGGGCTGTATCCTTACCAGACGGACATGAGGTGCCTTGTGGCCAGGACCACCATGCCTGACCAAAACCTGACTTGCTTCCTTCTCCACACAGCACCTTGAGGGACCCCGAGGCCAGGTCCCAGCTGGCATCCCCAGCAGTGACCAGACCATCTCCCGAAGCCACAGGGCCACCAGCTCCGCAGACAACCAATGACACCACCCACAAAGGTTAGTATGCCCTGGATGGCACAGTGCTTGGGAGATGACACCCCCCACAGTGCCACCTCTTCTGGTTTGCCTTCGTCCCACTGTTCCCCACACAAAATGGTGCTGAGGACAACACCACCATCAAATGAGAGGAAGGGCCACGGGCCAGGGCAGCATGTCCAGGATCCAGTCCCTCACTGTGGGCTCCATCTGCAGCCGAGGTGGGACTGCAGGGGTGGATGTGGACTGTCCTCCAGTGTCGGGGGCTGATGCCCCCCATAAAGAGGTGTCAAAGCTCACGGCCCCTTGTGAAGCGAAAAGGGTGGCAAAAGCCCCTAAAAGCTGGTGTGTGCTTGGGTCTCCAGTATAGGAGCTGGGCAAGCGGCAGTTTATCCATCAGTCTGCCTGCAGCCTCCTGCCTGACCTATGGCCAGCACCGCAGCCCCCTCTGCCCTGGGGAGAGACCCCAGCGGATGACACCCCAGCCCACCCCAACTTTCTTTCCAGGCAAGCGCCCGGCTCCGGCCCGACCCATGATGCCGCCACCGC